TTTTATCGTTACGTACGCGATGATACGGATGACCTCGAAATTAGGAATGGCGATTCGAAAAGCTCGATACGCGCGAGGCCGCGCCGTAATTAATTTACATCGATCCTGCGAATTATATTCGCGAACGAACGCCAATACGGGACGAACGGAAAAATAGGCGCGGAGGGGGGAGGAATTAAACGATACGTCTCGAATCGAAATACGTTCCGACGATCGATCGCGCGCGACGCGAATGCAAAGTCCGAAACGCGAGGCGAGGAGATTCCTTTCCCCTCTCTCTCTCTCTCTCTCTCTCTCTCTCTCTCTCTCTCTTTCGTGCTCCACCTCGATCGCCATTCCTCCCGCTCGATTCTTGGTAAACCAGGGGATTTTTCCCCTCCCTCCTACGAGAATGCAAAGCCACCACCGCTGTCGCGCGGCTCCTTTCTTCCTTCCTTCCTTCCTTCGTTCCCCTCTAAAGAGAGAGAGAGAGAGAGAGAGAGAGCGTGTTTCGTCGATGGAATTTCATATTTATTCGGGTGTTGCGTGTTCGGACTCGAAACGGATGCGACGACATCGCAAACACTCGTCGGTTTTCCGACGAGAGCCGAGGATTGGATGAAACGAAGCTAGACGGAGAGGGGAAAGGAAAACGGAGACGTTCCTCCTTTGTCTCGGGATTTCCTTCCTTCGCGGGAAGCGCGGCCCGAACCCGTCGATCTCCGCCGCGAGAGATACGCGGATCGGCGGATACGGCGAGCAGACGAATCGCCTTTTTCCGGAAACTTTCCTTCCCTCCCAATTCTTCCTTTATTTTATCTCGATTCCTGGCGCGACGCCGCCTCGATCTCTTCGAGAAGTTGAAAATGTCGAGCGAATGATCCCTATGTTCGATAGAGTCGAAACGGGATAGATATTTTCGCGAAAATATGGAAGGGGGAGAGAGCGGAATGAGAAATTTCGACGCGGAGGGAAAAAAGGAAGACGCGGGGAGGGATGGAAGAGATCGACGAATCGGGCGAAATGGAGCATGAAATCGTAAAACCACTCCGCGAAAACGTTGCGGAAAATGGTTTGGACGGGAGGTTTGGTTAGCGGGTTGAATGGAGAAAATGGCGGCACACGGGGCGAATATCATCGACTCTCGGATAAGGGACGCGCGCGTGCCGTGGCGGCTCCCCGAGCAACTCTCTCTCTTCGTCCTTTTCATCTCTCGCCTCCCTCCTTTCATCCATTGTTAAATGCCGCGTTATCCCGCGATAACCCTGAAACCGATTCAACGCGTTCTTCCTCTTCTTCCTCTTCTCCCTTCCTTTATCGTTTTCTATTATCGGGGATGCCTCGAATTCCTCGTCCGAGCAATTCTTCGAGGCGGAATCGCGATACCGTGTTTGTCCACCGCACTCCTCCTTCGATCGGACAATGGTCGGTCGGTCCCCTTATCGGATCTATGTATACGTCCAATTCTTTCGAGAAGAAGCTACAGGTTGGTCGGTTGGAGTTGGAAAGGGGGAGCCACGCGAACTAGAAATCGGTGGGACGGATCGAAAAAGACGGGGCGGACGAGGAGGGGTCTGAAACTTGCGACGCGACCGCGAGAAAGTTTGATTGCTGGAATAGTTGGGGATGGTATGGTCGTCGAAAGCGATCCTTTCCACCGAGGAAAAGGGGAGGGAAAGCCGGAGTTGGCCGAAAACTCGCAGTTAATTTATGCTTCCGATTAATCCCTAATTAAAGCCGGACCGCTTTTTCATCGGATCGGGTGAAATATCTATCCTATCCTATCAAGAACGAAGGAATGAAAGAACGCGTTCTCGCTCTTCCAACTCGTTCTAATTCGCCCACCAAGGGCGATAAGGACGATTCCACCTTTTCGTTTCTTCGCGCTTCGTGGAAATTTCTCGAGATGGCTCGGGTTTCGGGGAGGGAGAAAGTAAGTGGAAAAGGTATGGGGAGGAATTAATATCGATATCGGAAAGAGTCATCTTCTTCTATCGTCAAATTGCAGCGATATCCATTTTCAGAAAGATGGGACGTCCGGGAGAGGGGCCGGTATTCCATCGGATGGGCAACCATTATCTCGTGAAACGCAACGGTCAGTTGGACGACCGTTGGCTGCGTTAACGAATTTCTTAGCAGAGAGAGAGAAATAAGATTCTCGTCTTGATTCTCGGATTTCGCGTCGATGCACCGTTTAAAAGTACGGAATCGAGCTACGGGTAGGAGGAGGAGGAGGAGAAGAAGAAGGAAGAAGCAACCGGTGGAAGAGACGGGAAATAAAACGTCCCCCGGGGACAACAAAAGGAGTCTCTTGTTCGAAGGCTGGAAATCCTGTTGGTCGGTGATTCTTTTACTTCGAAAAGAGTCAATATTGACCGTTCCGCGCCTCCGAGCTGGCTGTTCGTTAACCGTACGAAAGAATTTCTCTTCATCGCCGACGGTGGTTTACCGCCTCGCCAGAGGAAATCCCAGCTCGGAAACAGGTTAAACGATAATTAGGATTGCGATATAATCGCGATATAATCGCGATATAATCGTAGCACGAGTTTTTTCCCCTCTTTTTCTCCCCTTTTCCGTCCGAACGTATCGGCTTTCCTCCCCTTCTCCGTTTATATATCCGATAATTTAAATATCCTTTGATAGCTCGGAGAGGGTAGCAAAGTAGCGCGTTGTCCCGGCGATCGAACGAAATTTAATTGGATCGGAAGCGTGGGTGGAAATTTTTTCGGAGGCGGAAGGAGGGGGGAATAAACGGGACGATTTCGCTCGTTCCGCCTTTCGACCGGGGCGAAAGAATTATTTCGTGGGAACTCGGAGTAGCGGGAGACGCGGCAACAAACTTCTCCTATCCGCTGGCTGCTGGATAGTTGAGCAGCGCGCGAGCCAACGGGAACCGAAGATGCCACTTAGCCCTCGTGCAAATTTAATTTCCACCTGCCGCGGGACTCGAAATTAGGCTAATGCCACGACGGGGACCGTACACCCCTTTATGGAGGCCATCGTCATCCGCCGAAACGACGATGCGCTCCTCCTCTTCCCTCCCTCTCCCTAACTTTCGATCGAAAATTTATTCGAAACGCTCGAACCAACTCGCGACGTCGCGTTAACCGCCTAGACGAAACGTTTTTCGCCCGAATGGAGAGATAAACGAGATTCCCGATAACGCTTCTCCTCCGGTTCGGACAGTTGGAAACTATGGATTAATCCCCCCGTAATTGGAATAATAGCGCGAGCGAAGCGCTCGAATAATTGGCCGATCTCTCGAATCGCTCCGATAACCGCTGCAACTTTTCCTCCCCCTTTCTTCTCTCGTCCGCCAATTTTTCTGTCTCTCGTAAGGTGGCGGGCGAATCCGAGGAAATTAATATTCCAACGTGGACGGATCGCGATAGTCTCTCTCTCTCTCTCTCTCTCTCCTCCCGAGACTCTTTATCTATTATTCGAACCGATTTTATCGGCTTGTTTCGCGTAATTTTCGCGGCCACCTTCTCGATCTGATAATTTTCGAGCTGAAAAAATCGCGTTGAAAAAAAAATCGGTGGAATAATTGGGTATCGTAGACAAAGGAGGGCAAGGTAATTACACCGGGGCTGGACAAAGTGTGGACTCCGGGCGGAACGATTATCGATTGCTTCGCTAGCTTCCCGTGTAATTTTAACCGCATTTACCGATGTTACGTTGTTGCGTTATTGCTATATTACTGCTTCGAGTAATCGCATTAGCCGAATGCGGCTTTAATACGAGTTCGCGGGCATTTATCGCGGCGATGCGTTCGATAACGAACCGCGTATGGCCAACATTCTGTCGGATGCCTAAATATTCGAGCGAGCTCATTACACGGCTGAGACTCCATTTCCCCAACCCGTATTTTTCCATCTTATCCCCCGTTTATCCAATCTCCCGAAAATTCCCAACCTTCCGCTCCGAGTAGCAATAGGCGTAGCGATGTAATAAAACTGGAGTCACTGGAAGAGAGAGAGAGAGAGAATATCCCTCGGTACACGCGATCGACGATCGATTCTTTCAGAAAAGGAGAAAAGGAGAAAAGGCTTAGGTCCGTACGATTGGCGTAAATCGTGAGATAATTCGCGCGGTCGAAGAAAAAAAAAATATTACGAAAGATGGATCGAAAAAGATCGGTGAATATTTTATAATTTACGAACAAGAAGAAGAAGAGGAGGAGAAATTCGGAGGGGGAGTCGGTTTCTCGAGAAAGAGGACTTTTTTTTCTCTTTTTTGCGAGGGATGACGCAAAGGACAGGGAGACAGGGAACGGAGAATGATCGCGATGGAAGGTTAAGAGAGAGAGAGAGAGAAGGACTTCTCGCAAAGGAGGGTTCTTTTCCCTTCTTCTTTTACTCTTTTTCGCGAGAAGAATACGAGAAACTGCGAGTAAAAATATCCGCGAGGCGAAGTTGGAATCGAATTAAAAAGCTGGCCAAGCCAATTAAGGCGTTTCGCGAAAGTTTAAGAGATTCTTCCCGGAAAAGGGTAAGCTTTCCAGGTGCGCGGCCGTTTTTTTTTTTCTATTACGTCGCCTTCCGCCTGGTCGCCGAACTGGGCGCCATTAAGCTGTTCGCTCTTCCGTATAAATAGAAAGAGAAGGTAGATCGCGCTTGTGGACCCAATTGCGAAGGAAGAAAGACTCGGTTTAATTTCCACGGAATTTGGCTCGTTACACAGCCCTCTCTCGCAATTTCGATCATCTTTTCCCTTTCCTTCCCCCTTTCGCGATCCGTCTTTTCCTCCCTTCTTCCCACCTGCCACGAATTTTCTCCCCCGCGCAAACTTCTACCGCGTCGTTGAAACCTTTGGCCGATCGCGCGTGCCGCGCCAGCGCCACCTGTTCCCACCACTCTTTCGTTAAATATTAAATTTCCACCGCCGTCTCCTCCCCGATAATGTCGATAGCGACGTACAGAACTTTGGGAGAAGTCTCCTCCCGAAATCGCCCATTTCCCCCAAATTTCGTCCGCTAAGGGTTGGACCAAGGTAGAGAAAACAAAGGGGAAAAGACGTACCTTCGTAGACTCTGAGCTGCGCCTCCGCTGACACCGCGTCGCCGACTCCATTCTCGGCTAGGCACTCGTACATCGTGTTGTCTCGGACAGGCCTCACTGGTTCGATCCGCAGTAAAGCTCCGTTTTCGTAGTTGTGTACCAGATACCGCGACTGAGATTCTAGAAACGGAGGAAAAATGTAAGAAAAGACAGAGACAGAGAAAGAGAGAGGGAAAAAATTAAACGCAAAGGACAAAAAGAATGGATCGACGAAAGATGGCGAACGATGGTTGGTGTTTCGAAAGTTTAACGACTTTCGAAACTCGAAATCGAGAACGATCGTCGAGCGCGACAGGATAAAAGCGTTCCGTCGTTCCGATTTTTCGGCGTTGCAAAATTCGCAACACGGTGGTTACTCGGAGTGCCGCGCTTCTTTCTTCTCCACCCGGAACCCTCTCGCTTCCAATTTCGTCTCGCATCTAATCGTCGAACACGAGGGATCAAACGCGATACGATACTATGCGGAGTCGCGAGCTGAGATATCGAGAGAGCCGTGAAGTCGACCGGTCGGATGGATGCTTTCCGCTCGAGAGAACGACCGCCTCTCCAAGATTTGGCAATCTCGGTCGGTGTTCGCCGAGCGTGGATAGATCGCGCAGGGTATGGTATAACGAGGCGCGCGGCTGGCGACAGCCGGTGCCCGCTTCCGGGCCGAGCGAGCGTGAAATTTAGTCGAGAAGAAAAGACATTTGAACGCGATTCGAAGCGACGTAAATGGAAACGCAAAGTAGTCGCGGAAGTGAGATTCGGAACCGAAGATTTGTGAAAGGAAGAGGAGAAAGGAAAAAAAAGGGGGGGGGGGAGGTGGTGGAAGAATCGTCGACACGATTTTCTATCCCCGTCGAGTGTTTGCGAGGGGGGATGAAAAGTTTAGGAAAAAACTTACGGGAAACTCTCTTTCCGTTTTTCCGCCAGTGAATCTGAGGCGGTGGCGCTCCCTCCGCCGTGCAGTAGAAGCTCGCTATCCCGCCTGCCTTCACCTGCTGCGATTGTGGCCTCACCAGGATCGTCGGTGGACCTGCGAGCACAAGATCAAGGGAAGCCTTTGATTAGACTCGAGTACACGCTTCGGCCCGTTTCGATGCCCATGGTTGCGCCTCGAGTTAACGAGCCTGAGAGAGAAAGAGAGAGAGAGAGAGAGAGAGAGAGAGAGAAAAGTTTTCCTCCTCGTCGTCGAGGAGAGCAGCGTTTAAGAAAGAATCGTCGCCAATCACCGGCTAGATTAAGCGAATTATGGCAAGATCGTGGGCACGCGTGCGTTTTCCGATCGGTCGGAAGGAAAAGAGAGAGAATTCTTCGTGTCTGGTCCGTGTCAGAGCAAACATTTCGTTCAAACTTTTCGTGTTATTGGATTAAAAAAAAAAAAAAAAAAAAAAAAAAA